AGAACACGAATATATGAATATCTGCCCCCCCCCCCCCAATTCTCGATATTCCGGCGCCTCTGCCGTTGCCAAGTAACTCGCCTTGCCGGGTAACTTCTCTCCATATAAACAGGCATTACACAGTAAAATAATAAAGTAGGCTGCATTAGGGCACAACATGACTTAACTAGACACACAGAGGTAGATTGTCTTTTTAACCCATTAATCATGCCAGTGCTCTTCCCTTGACAGGACTGCCGAGAGAATTTGCAGGGCCCACGGCAAATCTTCACTGGGGCACAGAATAAGAAGGTACAGCAGAAGTGTAACTCGAGTTGGTTCCTTTATTGTTTTACGTCCACAAAAAGTTAACTGACTCATGCCAATCCACGCCATCCTGGCTAGTACAACCAGAAGTTTTTATCAGGTTTTGGTAGGTACAAAGTGCTGGTTGTACTAGCCAGGATGGCGTGATTCAGGGCTGCAAATAAATATTTGACTTGACAGGACATTTGTCCGATCACTTTTAATTTTGATCGGACATAACTTGAATTTGGTCAGACAAAAAACAACATCACTAAATTTGGTCGGACATATATACGTCACAAGATATATATAAGTCACAAGACAAGTATGTATAGCCATTCCAGCGCAACGTTAAATAAAATGCTAGAGTGCCTCGTAAATTTTATTGCAAACTGCAAATTGAGTGAATTTGCAATCGGATTTTGTCACAGCAAAAATGTATGTGACAATTTTTTTGTGATCGGACCAATGTCTGATCAAATTTACTTTTGCTCGGACATTTGCCAAATTTAGTCGGACATTGTCCGATGTCCGACAGTAATTTGCAGCCCTGTGATTGATGACGAATTGCTTGTAAAAACGTGGACAAATACTTGCTTGAGTTACACTTCTGCTGTACCTTCTTATTCTGTGTCTGGGGGCCCAATGACATCATCTATTTTTAAGCTAAACCCAAGTCAGTCTCCCAAATAGACCTTAGCTAGACTGCATGTGGAGCTACCGTAAGGGGCCCTCAATTTTAAAAAATGTTCAGACCAATCTATAGGGATGCACCGGAACCGGTTTTTTAAGTTCCGGCCGGAACCGGATCCGACCGGAACTGGAAAAAAGTTCCGGCCAGAAGTTCCGGCCGGAACCGGAACTAATTTATTAAGCCATATATAGTCATATGTTACTTTGTCCGCTGCCAGACAAGCAGACACTTCAAATCATCAAGTAGAGAGTTCGCAAATGTCAGAATAAAAAGACTGACAAACGTTAAACGTCATAATGAAGTGTTAATAGTGTACATTTCCCTTGCGTAGTCCAACTTTCTTCCTACTGTGACCTTTTGTTAGACACACAAACGTTTGATATTCTATCTCCCTGAAAACGACAGAGTTCCGGTTCCGGCCATGCTTTTTTTACTAGTTCCGGCCAGAACCGGAACTCTAAAAAATCGGGGTTCCGGCCAGAACTAACCGGCCGGAACCGAGTTCCGGTGCACCCCTACCAATCTAAAGAACCTATTCAATTTGAGGCTCGCGCTTTTAAATTGCGGCCCTATATTAAGGTGGGGCCCAGAGCAATTTGCCCGTCCTGACACCTTCCAACCCCCTCTTGGCGGCCCTTCCCCTTAAACAAGTAAAATTGTCTAGTGCAATGCGGTTAAAGAGTTCAAATTATTTCAGAAAGCTGGGTATTTAGAGGGATTCAACTATTTGAAACATGCAAGCAAAACTTAGCCGCTTCGTGCTGGAAGTTAGTAGCCCATCCCGGGTCTTATTGAAGTTATGTATTAGAATTAGGTATGAAATATATAGCTCAGTGTCGAAGCATGCGACTTGCGGGCTGTGTGCAGGCTAACACACACATTGAATACTTAATAAAGAAAATAATAAAGGGATGAAACATCGACGAGTGCCTGCCGTGGAAGCCCAGAATTCAAAGCACAATATCAGTGTGTTTAAATAAAAAGGTCAGAGTTTTATTATGTTGTAAGGTCCACTGGGGCCTGTTCTTTCTTATCGTCTAGCCAAAACCTTCCAAATAGTTGCTAACGTGGAGAAATTTTTGGATTGATCGCACAGCAGTGTACGGTTGAATGTGTCGGGATGTGTTCCATAGGTTGCTATGGCACGCTGAAATGATTACTTATTTCCTACGACACACTCCACAGATTTCTAAAATCATATGAAAAATATTAACACATATAAAATTTTCAACACATATAAACAAAATTTCAAAATGAGTGATTGGCCGGTCACTCAGCTGGCCGTGAAAATTACAAAAAATATATGAATTAACTTGCCAGTAAACAGCAATATTTTTTGGATTTTGCATATTAGTTGCAGGTGATAAGTTTGCAATCAGAAAGGTAATTTATGAAAGAAGTTCTTTTGTTGAAATTTATAGAAATTTAAGTCGATAATTTTTCAATGTCATAGCAACCTATGGAACACATGCTTCCAGGCACTCGTCGATGTTTCATCCCTTTATTATGTCCTTTATTAAGTATTCAACTCGCGCGTTAGCTCGCACACAGCCCGCAAGTCGCAGGCTTCAACACTGAGCTATATATTTCATACGTAATTCTAATACATAACTTCAATAAGACCCGGGATGGGCTCCCTGTGATTTATTTCGAGTGTTGAACATGATATGACATGACACAACATGAGAAATAAATCTGGTGTTTTCAAGCGTCCATGTATTTTTCTGTTTATTATATAAACAAAATTCAGTGAAAAACAATAAAACGTCCGTGGCAATGCGTTTTAGAACAAATGATATTTTCACACGTAAAAATGTCGTATTTTTTACTGTGTTTAACACGATTTTTCTCAGTGGCCGAAAACTCGATATAACACTTATGTTTATATAATAAATTTTATTTGCAGTTTGTTTGAGAATTCAGACCAACCCTGTGAATGGTACAGATTTCAAAGGAATCAGTCCCGAGAGAGCATTTGCTGATTTCATCTTCGCAAGTGTTGTTCTTCATCTGGTGGTCATGAATTTCATTGGTTGAATTTTGTGGACAGCAACATGCCGTACGTTACCATAATCAAAATTTGTGAAATTACTTAGTAATGCTAATAAATATATTTCCGGTATATTTATGTTATAAGGGTAATTTTTGGTGTGTGGTTATGATATACGTTCCTAACATGTGCAGATATGGTAAGCAGTGGCGTAACAAACTCGATAATTGGGGGGGGGGATATTCATATATTCGTGTTCACAGACCTTGAAAACAATTGATTTCAAAAGAAATTAATAAGGCAGAATACGAATATATGAATATTGCCCCCCCCCCACCCCCCAATTATCGAGTTTGTTACGCCAGTGATGGTAAGGTATACAGTATATATATTTATAATATAGCATTTGTAAATTCTGAACGCTGATTGGCTAAGAGCCGTGTTGATATAACTCCATGTCAACACGGGAAATTTTCCGCCGCTTGTAAACACGGAAATTTTTCTTATTCTTCGGGCTTTTGACATTGCGATATTGTAAAACAAATATAAAACATTTTTTCCGTATTGATATATAGTTATATCAACACTCGTGGAAGTTGGGAAAACTCGAAACTGTATGAAAACACGACGCCCGAGTCTCCACACAATTTCTCGTTTTCCCAATTTCCACTCGTGTTGATGTAACTGTTTATCAACACGGAAAACGTTTTGTATTTGTTAAATATTACTGAGCTATGGCAAATTTTATTATGCTAATGATGCTACTCTGAATGTGTATCCACACCGGGCAGGCTTGAAAAATATGCCTGGCCACGGTGGGAATCGAACCTACGACCTTTGGAATACTAGCCCAATGCTCTGCCAACTGAGCTACGCGGTCAGGTCGGTTCGAGATGCGTGAGTACATTGTTTGTTTGTTTGTAGCATTTATTTCAACACGATTAAATTCGCAGCATAGCTGATGTGGTCGTGCATTTACATAGTTATGTGCCTAACCCACCCTGTCAACTTTCCCTGTGGGAGGAAACACGGAGTGCCCGGAGAAAACCCACGACTTTCGGCAGAGCGTTGACTTACTCTCTTCACATTAGGACTGGGTTCCAGTCACAATGAGAAGTCCTCATCGAGATTCGAACCTGCGGCCTTAGAGGTGAAAGGCAAGTGCGCTAACCACTTCGCCACCGAAGCCCCTAACCAACACAACAAATATCAAATTTTATTATGTTTTCATACCAATACTCTGTTTTGATTGGTTACTGGTCTACAGCTAATTGTCGTGTTAGTACTTATGGCACAACAACATAGTATTATATGCATATCTGCCTTAATTGCTACAGATACTACTGCAGTTATTATTCATTTTGCGTGCTCAAACAAATATGAAGGCTTCAATGAAGGGGAATAAGGAAGGCAAACATTGGCCTTAATAATGGACCATTATAGACTAAATTTTGATCTAGACAAAAATTTCATCACAGCTTGAAAGAGTATCACAAAATTAGTAATATTCCAAAGTTTCGTTGCGAAATGTTCTAAAATGCGGATAATATAGCCTTGCGAAATTTGCAATTTTTAGTCAATTTGTATTACAAACGGGAAATTGATACCCCAACACCCGATTGGGCTGTCAAATTCCCGTGCGTAATACAAAATGACTGAAAAACTGCAAACTTGGCATGGCTATATTATCCGCATTTTACAACATTTCGCAACGAAACTTTGGAATATTGCTAATTTTGTGATGCTCTTTCAAGCTGTGATGAAATTTTTGTCTAGATCAAAATTTAGTCTATAATGCAAATGGTCCATTGTTGATATCATGCTTAGTGTCATCCATGGTCAACTAAAAACACCCATGTTCATGTAGTACAAGTGATTATCAAGGTTACCGAATTATATTGTACTAAAGCTTTATTAAATTTATTATTATTATTCTTGGTAGCAGAAAAAAACCCAATATAAATCCAAAAATCTATGATTTTGATACCCTGGTTCCAGATGTTTATTTTTATTCTTTTCATTGTGAAGGGGAAAGGAGAAATAAACCACTGGTTGAAAGCGGAAATTGATTCATCGAGCCGCACCAATCAGTTTGAACTAGGGTCAGATCCTGACTTTGTCTCCTGATTGTATGATTGTATTAAAGCTCTCTAATTGATTCAAATAAAACATCTATAACCAATCAGAGAGCTTTAATGCAATCATCCAATAAGGAGATAGAGTCGGGATTTGACCCTAATTCAAACTGATTGGCGCGGCTCGATGAATCAATTGCCGCTTTCAACCAGAGGTTTATTTTAACCTCTGGAACCAGGGTATGATTTTGATAGACAAGTTGCTAAAAACGACCAACAAATATCAAGAGCACTAATCTTCCCAAGAACAAGCTTTAGCCATAGATATCTTATATAAACTAGATAGCGCATCTCTTTTAGTAAAATTGAAGCCAAGAATATTCCAGCGGTTACCCCCATTTGAATAGATGGCGGCCATGTTGGAGCTTCCCACTCGCTAATAAACGCTTAAAAAATAACAATAACTTTCATCATTTCAATAGTTTGAAAATGTATTTATAATAGGATTAACTTAATGTTTAAGTTCCCTGTTTAAGAAATAGGATACATACGAATCTTCTCATTTCATGGGAAGATCCTGACCCTGCAATTACGGCTTCAATTTTTGAATTGCAGAATAATTAGATGCGCTATCTAGTGTATATAAGATATCTATGGCTTTAGCAAGTTGCGTCCGTGTTTCGAGGTCAAAAGCCGGCAAAATAAGACTCACAGACGAAAAGTGACCCAAAAGTGGCGGACTTTCGCTCTTTCGGCATTATTTTTTTGGTTTTTAAAAAATACATTTTTTAACTAGTTTATATATTAAAAATCTATGTGGTAACCTGTAAACAGTTGTTATGGATATTTCTATTTTGTTCTTATTTCTCTTGATACTAAAGAAAAATATGAGCTAATATCCAGCTAGTGGAGAGCCAATCAAATTGCAGAATGGGTTATACCCGGTAGTTGTCTATATAACAATTCTTGATATCATGCTCAACCTCATTCAGTAATTGATAAATACCATACGTGTAACATGTAGTCCGAATCTTGCATTTTATCCACCATTGTGTTCAATCAAAACCACCTTAACACTTACTGAGATTGAGTTTGTTGAAAGCTAGTATAACCAAGACCAATCCAAGGAACTGTGATCCTGATAGAATAATTGCTAAGATTATTTGATGTGTAAAAAGACTGCTACCAAGTAATGGCCCTGTAAAAGAAGACACTCTATTCAATACGGTCATTATGGCTTGCACCATCCCCTGATTGTCTGGATCAGTGTGCTTCGAAACTGAAGAACGACCAACTGCATTAATAACAGTTACTGCTATCCCATCCAAGGCAACTGCTACTAACAAGCTATAGCAAGCTCTGTTAGACATTGGGACAGAGGACGCCAGCGGAAAAAAGACCACGGATTCAAGGCTACCGAAAATAGCGGACATCAAAAGGAGGAATCCATCTGAAATTTTCGGTGACAAAATCAAGAGAATAATTGCAAAAACGGTGATTTCTACACCCCAGATTGTAAATAGATAACTGACTTTGTCTTCATTCCAATATAACATGTGCTCAGCAACCAGGGGGGGTAATTCCCTGAAGAGCTGTATGGAGGATATAAATGAAAAATATCGAGTATACCACTACAATCACGTGAAATTTGGCAAACATATCTATTAGAGCATCTCGGAATGGCCCACTGCTGGATTTCGTTGAGTCGTCTAGGAATACACTTTTGTCATCTTTTGCTATTTCCTCGGTTTTGTTAACGCCGTCATTTGTGAATGGAGATGACGTCATATCACCGTGCTTGTCCTCTGGGCTTTCCATGCTACACGCTTCTTGGAGTTGCTCTTTTCCGGAAAACTGTTCTTCACTTGGACCGTCTGAAACTGGTTCATACCCTTTCTTTTTTCTCATCTCGTCGGAGAGATCATAGACAAATACAAGCATTACACCAGTGGCTAGTATCCACATTAAAGCCATGAAAAATTCCGGGGATGTGCGGAAATCAATGTGCCAGTTACCGATGTAGAAATCAAACTCCTTTAGAAAGAGGTTTAGTGGTGGACCTAAGACAAACTCCCAGAAAGTAGCTCACTTTCACTAATGTAAAGTATCGAGTACGTTCTTCCTCAGTTGTGATTCTGGCCAGTTCTGCCCAAATAGCTGACGCATATCCTTCTCCGAATCCTGCTACCATGCGTCCTAGCAGGGGCAAGTACATGTTGAAATGAAGCGAGTATATTACATTACCAACAATCTGGAAAATAATTGATCGTGTGTTAAATTGACAGTGTTGGTGTGTGTGTGTGTGTGTGGGG